CGTGCGTAAGCAATGGACGTACTGTTGCGTGGAGGAACAGGGACACACATTTCAAGTTTATCCTGTTGTGCAACTCAATATCGAAGCAGCAGACTACGATTAACAGACTTATCGTATTCAAAGCGATTATAAGGAGCAAGGTTAAAGGACGCCGAGCAGATCTACCCCTCGCCTGAGAGCTGCTGGCCGGCAAGGTTTCGGATCGGACCGCGTTTCAGTTCTATCAAATCACAATTTATCTTGCCGGAATGCGGTTCCAACTTCCAACGATGAAGTACTAAAAGGAATCCTTTGCTCATTTGTTTTCAACTGCGCTCACGTACGGATCCTGGGCCGCAGAGCCTCAGGCAATCTGCCGCTTAACGACTCGACCTCACCTTGGCCTACTTGCTTAACCGCTGATGGTTGAAGAATAGCAATCCAATCGCAGGTGGTGTAGCGCTTGGAATCCGAACCCCGAGTTTTTCCGCGCGCTTCCGACTCGGAATACACACGGAGAATAAACAGAACAAAGGATTGCAAGGCCGACCAAGCTAAGCGCGCTCATTGTTGCCAATTGAGTCCATAGAAACCGAAACCAAGACAAAAGACAATTTGTTTGGCGCACGTTGTGCGATTTGATGCATAATGGCGCAAGGTATTGGCTGTGGCGCAGTTTCCGCAAAATGGCGCAGGATGGCGCAGACAAATGCGTCTGGCGCAAAATGGCGCAAATGGCGCAGCCGTTCCACCCCTGCTAGTAGCTACACTAGCCAAAAACGTAGTTGTGTTCTTTTGCTCTCCTCCACCAACACTCAAGTCTCCTCTTTGTCACCTCTACTGGCTGCGAGCTATCGGCGTCGTACTGTTCGTCAACGCCCCGGAAACCCAGCGCCACCGCCATGTCTGGTTCGTACGTCACGTCCGGCTTTATACCCGTGCATTCCAGTATGACGTGTTCCGCCGTCTCGTCTGCTCCCTGCGCGCACATGACGCACTTCCCTTCCATGTCCATGTACTTCGCGCGGAAAACGCGGGTCCGCAGCATGCCGCCTCGGGCGTCCGAAAGCAGTGCACTGCCCTTGCTGTTGTCCATGAAAGGTATTCGCTTCACCTCCTGTTTCTCTCTGGCATACAGGGCCAGCGCTGGTTTCAGACGTGCCGCTTCCGCCCATCGCCGCGTCTCGCTCTCGATCACCCTCGCGCGGATGCTCTGCTGCAGTTCCGGCTGCTCCGCGGCTGGGTAGAGGAGTGGGCCGTTGACCTCGTATCGCTGTGCCAGCTGGCGCGTCCGTCGCACCCACCGGGTTGGGACGGACCGAAGATGTACATACTTGAAGACCTGTCTGGCCCAGCGCTCTTCGCTCATCCGGCTGAGGCGTCGCTCGAAGTCCAGCTTGGCTCGGGCCTCCCTGGCCTCAAAACCGGACCAGCCCATGTCTCCTTGGACGGCTTCGTTCGGTGCTGTTCGGCTTGCTCCCAGTGCCGACCTTCCCACCTCCCTCTGACGGACCTCGAGGTATTGCCTGGTACCTGATGACAGGCACAACACTGAGTTGCCAAAAGTAAGCCCCGGCACCGCCACCATCTTCCAGACCGCTCGGGTTACCTCGTATCGGTTATATCCCCAGAGGGCCCTGGCCGTTGCTATGCCCTTGTTCTTCCTGCTCTTCGCCTTGACCTTCGTCTCGTGCTCTAGGAGGTAGTGGTGTCCCTTCTGTAGGTTTACACCCAGATATTTGTAGTGGTCCACCCAAGGTACAGGATTCGCTTGAATGGACAGGTTGGCGGTCCCGTTTTCCTCTGCTGCCCCAAAGGCCATCAGCCCAGATTTGTGCGAACTGAAGCTAAGCCCCAGGGCCTCTCCCATTGCACCACTCTCGTTCATGAGCCCCTGCAAGCCCTGCAGCGAGTCCGCCATCAGCACCATATCGTCGGCATAGATGAGTCCCGGGAGTTTTCCTCCCTTCCTTTCCCCGCCTTCCGAATATTCCAGTGAGAAACCCTGCCCACTCTCCTGCCGCCGCTTTTCGATTCCTGCTATGTACAGCATAAACTATAGCGGCGACAGTGGGCAGCCCTGTCTCAAGCCCTTGGAGCAGGTCACTGGATGTGTTGTCTCCTGCTGCCACTGTGCCACCACCGTCGTCCCTCTGTACACTTCTCGCAAGAGGTCTATCCACTCTCTGCAGAGTCCCCGCTCTTCCAGCTGCGTCCACAGTTTTCGATGTTCGACCGTGTCGTAAGCCTTGATGATATCGAGAAAACAGAGGTAAAGGGGGCGGTTCTCCTTCTGGGCAATCTCGATGGCCTGCGTCAGCACGAATAAATGGTCTTCAAGGCGTCTCCCCCACCGGAACCCATTCTGCAGCTCCCCCAGGACTCCTTCTGCCTCTGCCCATGTCTGCAGTCGGTCTCGTATTATTTGTGTGAACACGCGGTAGAGTACCGATGTGATGGCTATGGGGCGGTAGTTTCCGAGCGTTGACTTTTGCCCTTTTCCCTTGTAGATGAGTCTGAGTCTTGAGGTTCGCCACTCCTCCGGCACCCATCCCTCCTTCAGGATCTGGTTGAGGATCTCGCGCAGCAGTGCTCTCGTCTCTGGCCCCAGCTCCTTCACCAGCCTCATTGGGATTTCGTCCATTCCAGTGGCTGTGGTTCCTCCTATCCACTTGACTGCTCTATTTAACTCCCTCTCCGTGATTTCCTCTCTGCTCGGTTGCTCCTGCAGTTCGTCCTCCGTCTCCCCCTCCTCACTGTCCATTTGTCGGCTGTCCCCTGTGAACATGTCCCCTATCCACCTCTCAATGTACCGGTTGGTCTCTCCAGGGTCCAGTTCCTTTCCCGTTGCATCGTCTTTGATTACAGCATCCTCCCTGGGTCGACCTGTTTGGCCCTGTACGTGTCGCCAGACCTTCAGTGGGGCCTCACGTCCTGCCTCTCTCAGTTCTTCCAAAAATCTCTTATCTACCTTGGCCATTTTGCTTTGAATCAAAGCTGTCACCTCTATTTTCCTGCTCTGGTACTCCCTCCATTCTCTTGAATCTTTCTGTAGGGGGGCTTTCTTCTCCTCCTTTCGTTTTCTGATGGTCCCTCGCAGAGTCCTGTTTGCCAGTTGCCTTCTTGTAATGGCCTCCTTCACCTCCACATCCCACCATCGTTTTCTCCTCCGCTTCCCTCGTGTCGGTCGTTTCAGTTTTTCCAGGTGGTCCCTCCACCACCGCATGAGGTTCCCGTACGTCTCCACCTGCCTGGTTTCCACCTCGTCCTCCAGTTTCTGCGCAATTGTTTGTGCTTCTGCTTGCGTTATGTGGTGTGGTCTCAGAGGTTCGCTGACTCTCTTTTCCGTCGGCTTTCCTCCGAAAGTGATCAGCAATTTGTTGTGATCATTTCCCAAGCTCTTGTCGCCTTCCTCGTCTATCTCCATGTAGTTCAGTTTTTCATACAGGTCCGGGGACACCAGGCAATAATCGATTGTAGAGCTCATCCCTCTGGCCGTCCATGTCGTCTTTTCTATGCATTTATCTTGTGTGTTGACGATTACCATATCCAGGTGTTCCGCCATGTCCTGCAGCAGCTTTCCATTACCATCTGTTCTCCCATCAAACTCCTCTAGGTGTGCGTTGAAATCGCCTACCATAATGGTAGGTCTCCCAATGTTGTGATAGTCTTTTTCAATGCACTTGATTAGCTTGATGTTTGTCTCCCTGCTGTCTGCCCCCGTCCACAGGTACACCACTGCCACTGCCACCTTTCTCCCCGCCAGTGTCCCCGTCAACCACATGTGCTCTCTGCACTCTGGACTTTCTCTCTGCCAGCCTGGCCCGCTAAAGCATCCTACCCCCCCTCCCCTTCTCTCACTGTCCTTTCTGTTTACCCCATCCCAAAAAAGCCCTTCGCAATCCGGGGTCTTTCTTCATCTCTGAGGTGGGTTTCTGTGACTGCGAACATTCCAATCTTATCATCTTGTAACATCTGAAAGGCCTCTTCCCATTTTCCTGCTTTCCTTCCTCCCTATCGGTTTAAAAAGGCAATCTTCACTTCCCTCTTTTTCTTTTTTGCTCGTCTGTTTTTCCTTCTTTCCCGGTCTGGTGCCTTTTTGTTTTTTCCGCCTCTCGTGTTTTTGCAGGCACCATCCCTCCTACTTTCTCTTCTTAGTGGGCATGTCCCTGTGGGGGACACATCCTCTGGAGTTGTTCCTCGAGTCGCTGTAGTCTCTGGTCCAGAGTCAGCCTGCCTTCCATTCTTTCCTGTCGCCTTTTCATCGGTGTCACGCTTTTCCCCTTCCATTTCAGTCCTAAAAAACTCTTTAGTCTGTTACCCAGTGCTTGTCCCTCTTCAATTGCCGCATCTCTGTTGTAGCCGCCATCTTCCATGTCGTTTCCCGTTCCTGTGTTCTTTACCACCTCCACCCTCGGTCCCAGCTGCTGGCTGATCTCTCTTGATAGCCTGTTCCACTTGGCGCACCTCTCTTTAAGTGGGTCCCCCTTGTCTTTGATTTCTGGGACTTCATACACCATAAAAGAATGTTTCGGGGCTCTCGTGGTCCAGTCCTCAAGCCGTTTCCCTAGCTCCGCTGCCATTTCTTCCACCGATTCTTCGCCTTGCACGTCTGTCACTCCCGCATGTATGACCACCACTCCTGCCTCTGCATTCCATATTTTCCCATCCCTCTCTGCTCTCTCGAGTGACTCTCTCAGTTGTGCTCCCGGCTTAGTTGCAAAGTGAACTTTCTTGTCGTAATCTACCACCTTCAGTGTGGCTCTCTTTATCTTGAAGGCATTGGTGTCCCCTACCACTAAGACTCTCTTGTCCACCTTCTTCTCTTTGTCCTGTTTCTTTGTCCCGTCATCTGGGTCTGCTCTCTGCCTCATGAGGGCCTCCTTGTAGTTCCTGTGCTGGCTTCTTTGTGTTTGGCCTCCAGTCGTCTGTCTCCCCTGCTCCTTATCCAGATCTCCACTTCCCGTCCGTTCTTGGGAAAAGCTAACTGTCTCTTTCCCGTCTGTGTGGTATGTCATCTTTTATTTGACCCCGTTTCTCGGTTCCAGCTGTTGCGGCGCGTTTTCAGCCCCGTTGACCGTCATTTGCTCTGGTTCACATGACTTCATCCATTCATTAAACACCTCCCCTAATTTTTCTCTCTTGTTCCTTTCCTCCTGCATTATTGCTTTCAGTTTCTCTTCCGTCGCTATTCTCAAGGTTCTCTCCTCTTCGAGCTTCGCCAACATCCTACTTTCTATGGCCGCTCTCTCTGTCTTTGCCTCCTCCAGCTTCACTCTCATTGCCTCTCTCAAGGCATTAACTTGCCGTTCGATCTCCTCCTCCAAGGTGATTCTTCTCACCTCATTTTCCTTGCACTCCTTACATTTGTATGTACTGTTCTCCGCCTCCGTGCATGATTCGAAAGGTGTCTCGCTGATATCCACCCATTTTTCACAGCATTCGCACTCCACTGACGCCTTGTCTCGCTTTCCCCTCTTCTTTGCCTTTTCCATTTGACTTTGACTGGTTGTCATTGTTTTCCTCCGTGGAGTCATGATGTTAGGTGTCTCCCTTGCCTGGTTTCCGAGACGCCCCAGCCACCACCGCCAGATTCCGTCGTTTAGCCGTGCCCCGACACGCCGTGTCGAAAAAACACTTGCGGCCTACGCCCGGTTGGTAGGCCTAACGGGTCGTTGAGCGCTCCGGAGGAAGGGCTTCTTGATCGTCCCCACGGTAACGGCTCCGCGCCGAAACCAAGTGGTCCGCTGGTAGCGGTCTCGGTATGCCTATACACCTTCTGGAAGATATCCGTCGCACTGCCACCTTTACACTAATCGGCAAAAAAACATTTTACCCCGGCGGTTTCAAATCGCCGCCGACCCGACGAACGTTGCCAGTGTTGCGGAGAACGCTTGTGGCTGTTTGTCCGAAAACCGGCCAGAGAGCGGCCGCCACCGTTGCCAGACTGGAGAACGCTTGTGGCTGTTTGTCCGAAACCGGCCGCAACGCATAAAACGTGCGCGCTGCGGAGCAGAAATCTTGCAGACTCCCAATTCAATGTTAGTAAAATGTGTCCCTTCAAATAAAATGAACTAATATGTTCCTAATTCACACCACAATATTGTTTTCAACTTCGTTTTTCACTACAACCTCGTAACCAGACGCCTTTCACGTCTCCTCGAGTTTCCTCGAGTGGAGGAAGTGTTCTCGAGGAGCTCCTCAGCCGAGGAAACGCCGAGGCGCGTCTGTGAAGCCCGATGGCTCCTCGAGTGGAGGCAAGCTGCTTTCCTCCACTCCAGTGAGTCGAGGTGGAGTGTCGAGTCGAGGCCCGTTTAAGAATACGGCCGTAAGAAGCTCTTCGTGAATCTGGCCTCTGAAGAGCGCATTTCGAAAACCGGACCTACGTGGCCCGCCTATTTGTGTAACTAGGCAAACGGCGGAAACAACAGCCCCAGAGATTCCATCAGCGTGACAGAGAGAGTCAAGTGACAATTTTTCGTCCAAACGTTTTTGTCCTACGCGCCCTACATAGAGAGGTGACGCGTTTCGCTCCACCCTTTTGATTTGCTTCAAGCGGGTGTCGCGCTCACTGACAGCCACACGAAGACACAAAAGCGGGTGGGGAGGATTTGCAAAAGGCGAGGTCGAAGGGGAATTAACAACGCAGCTAAGCTCCCTCTGCATTTTTCAAGCTTTAGAGTAAACAAAAAATAACAAAAACAACGTATAAAAAAACAAAAAATCTGGTGTACAGCCAAAGCTACAGGGGAGAGTGTATATCCGGACCCGTTCAATAGTAGGGAAATAAGGGAAGGGAGAATCCCAGCCCTTCTCTGAAATGAAATGGAACGGAATGCAAGGAAAGGCCGCTTCTGCCGGTGACTTTGTCGCCTTGCCTAGTCTGTCAGCGTTCGGCTTCCATTGTGGGCCTCAGAAAGATAATCTCCTTTCTTGAGAGCGAAATGGAAGGGGTGCTTATGTTTTGCGGGCTTGTCGCCATCCGATAGGCCTCAATTATTTCTCTCCCCACTCGCTCGCATGCAGTGGCCTCCCATGGCTTTTGTGCCGGTGAAATTAGGAGCGCAGCCGGGACATTTTCTCGAGTGAATGACGATCGGTGCTGAGAAGCAGCTCTTTCGGCGTCCATTTGATGTTCTCGGAGTCGGACGTCGAGGCATCGTCCCGTTTGCCCGATGAACCTGGCCCCGCAGGACAGGGGGATCGCGTACACTTCCTCCGCTTCCTCTCCTTCCCCCGAGAATTCAGTTTCCCGTACTCCCACAGAGCGGGCGGGCTTTGAGCTTGAAGCCGAAAATAAATGTTATTGAAGTTGAAAGATTGTCCTGTCTGTATCGTCCCTTTTGTGTCTCCACTTTCCAAAATGTTTAACAAGTAGCAACACGCTAAAATAGTACAAGTTCCGGGATTTCATTTTAATTCCCCAAGTGTGATGCGGGGGCGGCGCCACGGAGCACCGGTCGTTTCCGCTCTTTGTTATCGCTAGGATTTGACAGTGCTGAATCACAATACAAGACACGCACAGAGCCACGCTCGCTTTTGCAATGCGCCACATAATAATAATATCTGTTGAGGAGACGTGCGCGCATCAGTCTCGCGCAGCGCTAGCTCGATGGCAGCACTTTCTGTACAGGCGCATTCACACCGGGGATGTAAGCAGTCGCGCGGTGCGACTAAATCGCATCGCAAAATAAAAAAAAAAAAAAAAAATAACTAGATGGTCACTCTGGCGTGCGCGATGAGCGAATCCAACGTCTTCGTTGGCAAGTCGCTTCTCAAAAGCTCTCGCTCCGAACGCCGTTGATTGGCTCAGCCTCTCCGCGACTAGATCGCATCACAAAAAGTCGGGTCAGCAAAATAAGGTACAGTGGCCAGCCAAATAAAACTTGATTTCTATTTAATGAAGATGAAGACCACCCGCGTACATCAAATACCTCATCAGCCGAACCCCAAGGCAGTAAGCCTAGTTCTGGCGCTTGTTTGGCAACTTTGGCCCGTAGCTGCCAGATGACAGCCGAACTATCGGGAAGCGAATCCTAACTTTGGCACTTGTTTTGCGACTTGGGCCCAAAGATGCCACATGTCAACACTACGAGGTAGTAAGCCTAACTCTGGCACATCTGTGGCGAGTTTGGCCCAAAGGTGCCAGATGACAGCCGAACTATCAAAAAGGGAAGCCTAACTTTGTCATTAGTTTGGCGATTTTGTCCCAAAAATGCCAAATATCTACCGAACTACCGGGCAGTAAGCCTAACTCTGGCATTTGTTAGGCGAATTAGGGCCAAAATACCCACCCTGTTGCCAAGGGAGGTGAGGTTTGGCTTTACTTTGGCTTCTTCGGGCTTTTCAATGCCCTAAACTCCCAGACAAAACCAAGTTTTGGCCCAGAACTCGGTGCTACCTGGGTCGACAGCGTGGCAGAGCCGTAGATTGGAAGAGTTTGGCCAATGGGTGTGGAGCAAAGGTCGCCGCCAGCGCTGAATATTCCCCCGCGGTAAGAGCTTAAACTAAAAGTGCGATACAGCGTCGACCAATCAGCATGACCCCGACGTCACAACCTCGGAAACGACATCTAACGCGTGAAACAGAAGCGTTCAATCTCGCAGCTGCAATGATCGCTACTACGCTGTTTTGTCTGGTTTGGAGCGCTCGTTCGTATATTCTATACCGTTGAATATAAACGTGACGAAAACACCACATGCGCCGAGTTTTACGACACCAAGAGTTATGCCTTTTGACTCTAGCGGCTTTAAGGCTCAATTAGTGGAGTCGCATTTTTAGAGCTCACGACGACCGCCAGGGGCTGTTTCACGGCCTGTGGTAGGCCACTAGATGGTCGCCTATTCAAACCAATGAATGGCAAAACTCTCCCAATACACTGCTCTGCAGCCTGACAGCGCGGCTTTTTGCGAGGTCACTTGTCATCACTTCGGGATTGCTAGCAATGCACGCCCCCCCCCCCCCCCCCCCCCCCCCCGGAGTGGGACGCCAAACACAGCACACCAGTCGAGTCGGACCCGCGTGCCAGGTCCTGCAATGGAGGCAGAGTATCCTTGCTGCGATACCGGAGGTGGGTGGAGACGAACAGAACGACGGAAGCTTCAAATGTGTGTCTGAAACTGATGTCTGTGGCGAGTCAGAGCTGTCATATTCTTTTGACGGTTCGTTTCGTCATGTCGGACACATTTGGCGCGCATCCATAGGCGTGCGCAGGATTTTTCATTAAGGGGGGCGAGGTTTCCCCAGAGCGCCCCCGCCGCCCCCCCCCCCCCCCCCCCCTTTTCTTACCAGCACACTCCCACTGATGTCCTGACGCTCATATGGTAGTGCTGAGACGAGATAGGGTTATGAAACGTTTATTTCAACAATACTGAATAGTAACATATACAAAATATTATTAAGCAGTAGGTTTCACTTTCTTGTGAAACGTCCGCAAAGAAAGGCAGTCCCTGCGCAGCTGAGGCGTCAGTGACACGACGCGGATACAAAATTTTTTTATTCTTTCGAAACCAGACAAAGATAGGACACATATGCCATCTCTAACAGCACAGAATATTTAAAAATATTGCCTCAGCGTGACTCTGCTAGTATGGAAAATATAGTATACATACAGGGCAAACGCATGGGTGCACCTACACATGGCGAAAGCTGTCATATGGCGTCTGCAACGTTCATGGAAAGGACGAAAAACGCCACCCAATACACAACGTAATAGCAACGCTTAAAAGCACGAGAATATACCGCAGACTATAAATACAAGAAACAGCAAGTTACAATATTTAGAAATTATTGAAGATAAACGCGATGACATGCCATTTTTTTTTTTCTGAGCATCCAAATGTACAGTTGATCATCTTACTTTCTGGCACTTGATAGGGACTGTAATAGAAACAACAAGACTACACGCACGCATTATGTCATGCTCAACAAACATTATACAAACTAATAAATATGTTATTTGGTGGTAAACATATTTATGACTAGATTACTAGAAATGTGTAGCACGTGGGAGATGTAGTACTTTTCACCAATCGTGAAAAGTCTGAAGAAAAATTCTACGCGATTTTGTCGCGAACTGTTCGATGACTGACTGCGTCGCGGCGTACTTTTATGGTTCTTTTCTTCGTTACACGCACTAGAGGGAGGGAACTTTGGCGTCGGTGTTTTATGCCGTCGAAAAAGAAACCACGGGCCTCCTGCGCTGCCCAGAGAGTGCTGCGAATGGGACTTGTTAGGACTTGTTTTGGGTAGTACAAATTTTAGCGTCTCAAACTGTCACGCATGCAGACGCGTGCCTGCTCTGGTGCCGAGCGCGATATCACGATCAAAATACAAAGAAACAATACAAATTCGAACGCCGTCAAAGCTAAGACGCTGAGAGTGTGAGCCAAGAGATGCCGTTTCACGGGTTCCAAAGTAGACATCAAAAAGAAAAAAAAAAATTAAAGCGTCGCGACACAGGTGTTGTGACGTCACCACCCAGAGATAAGAGACGCGTGGCCTAGCGGTGGTGTCATGAATTTGGCACTTTCGATTC